TCGATCAAGTATTACAAAGAAATCTATCATGGATTACAAAAAAAAAAAAAAAACCGTACGGAATCGCCGATTCACTGTTCGGACTCGCCTATTCCGTACAGTGAATCGGCAATTCACAGTACAGAATCGTCCGGTTCTCTCTAAAACCGGACGATTTCTGATTTTTGGGCGATCCGGTCCCCTTTTCACGATTTCCGAGTTGAACCGGGCGAGTCCGGTTCGACTCGGCGTTTTTTAAAACGCTGCTCTGTTCTAAAATCCAAATGATATGGACTCAACCCATGTCCGGGTCAGATCTACTCAAAAGTATGCGTGAAACCTAATCTACTCCAAGTATGGGTGAAACCTAATATGGTCGAGAGCATAATTAGCAAGTCGCCGATTTAATCGCAAAAAATCGGCACTTTTTTTAAAAACGATTTAATCTGCGACTTTTTCAATAGATCGGTAAAAATAAGCGATTTTTCATGAAGAAGTTTAAAACGCAACTTTTTCAAATTTTGAAAAAATCATTTCAAAAAACCTTTTCTATTAATATACTCTGATTTTGTATTGGAAAGTTCAATATCTTTATCTTATTTTATGAAATTTCTAATTCTATTTTTATGTCTATTCTCCCAAACTTTCTAGGCTATGGATATGATGCGTACTTTTTCGGGTGGTTATGGTAGACTATAGTTAGCTAGTATGGGGTAGACTATTTTTGAAAATTGAATTCACCTACACAATAACCTTGACTAATAGAATGGACAACCATCTTATGATTTAGAGATATATCACATTGAATATTTGAAATTTATATTTATAGGTTATGGGTAGACTATAGTTAGCTAGTATGGGGTAGACTATTTTTGAAAATTGAATTCACCTACACAATAACCTTGACTAATAGAATGGACAACCATCTTATGATTTAGAGATATATCACATTGAATATTTGAAATTTATATTTATAGGGAGGTCATTTTTATATTGAGTGATATATATATTTAGAGTTTCAAAATTTCTAATATTTTAAACATATCCGATTTTTTAACTCCGATTTTTTGTAGCTTAGTTTGATATATTTGCAATCTCTTTATATTAAGAATTTTTGTTGATCCATATTTTTTACTCGATTTTTTATGCAACTTTATGATTAGTTTCCGATTTCGGACTGAGCCGATTTATTGATAATCCCCGACTTGCTAACTATGGTCGAGAGTCGACCAATCCGACCCATTACCATCCTTGTTTGAACTAGAAAATCGCATAAACGAGCCCCGCCAAGTGTTTATCTAAGGGGCCTTGCCCCTTAAATTAAGGAATTATATACGATAAGTATCATATATTGTTTGTATGAGGAGGTTGTAGTCACTTTTGGCCTTTAGATTTGAATTCAAAAGGCAGCGAAAGTGCAATTGATTAGGTTCAAAGTTCATAAAAACTCTATGACATATTTTAAACTATTTGATTTGATATTTCATGGTTATGATAACTCGTAACTTTTTTATTCTGAGAAAAATATGGTTTTATAGTATACAATTCGTTAAACTCAAGTCGATGGTCTCTCAAGAAGGATGAGGAGCTTAAACTTTGTCTTCACCAGCCTCAATCTCAGGTATAAGAGGTGGGTTGCATAAGGATGACAAACAATGTAAAATCTTGTTATATCTTATCATAAACCTAAAAACAACAGAGGAACAAAATTCATGTAAACTCTATTTAATTGGAATAAAGCTTGGATAATGATAATAACAGCCTTATAAATACACCCCAAACCTACTTGCGTGTTCAAGTGCACGTCCCATTTAAACCCCTAGTGTTTGGTGTTAGACTTTTACAAAATAGTAATGGGAAATGATAATTCTTTTATGAGGCTTCGTTTTGTTGTACTTCTCCTAAGATATTTAGCTTTAACGTATTTTATTATTGATATAATAAAAAAATATAATTTCAAGTTTTAAAATTAAGAGTGCAGTTGGCATACAGATGCATCCATAGCTATAGAGGTAAGGTGCACCTTCAAATTTTATCATGGTATATAATTTTGATGTAAATGTTATTAGGATTATCTCAAAATCAATTTTTATATCTAATTATAAAATTTAAAATTTAAAAAATGGTTAAAATCAAGTAGATCTATAAACATATAAAAATCTCAAAAATAGACGGTATAGATAATATGTTGTAAAATGCACTATTTTTTAGACTTAAAATATTTTTATTTTTCATGGTCATGCATCTCGACGTCGAGATGATCAATCAAACGGTTTTTCAACATTAAAACTACCTTTTCATATGGATTTTTGAGGTGTATCCCTAGTTCTACATTATAAGGTTGCATCCTTATATAAACTTCTTCCTAAAATTAATGCATTTTGTAGCAACTTATCTAGACCGTTTATTTTAAGATTTTTAAGTGTTTATAGATTTAGTAAATCTATATTGTTTTTAGAATTTAAAATTTATAACTAAGAATAAAAATAAAATTTTAAGACATCATGAGATTTTTCACTCCAAAACTACTTCAATTCAAACAAATTTGAACGGTGCGCTTCACTTATACAGTATAATAAAGCTCGCCCTTTGCCCTTTCATGATTTATCCCGATATTTAGTTTTATTGGCTTTGGAATCCCCGTATTAATTGTTAATAGAAATAGACTCAAGGTGTAGGTGCTTAATGTAACGGGTGCCGCAACGTAGCATCTTGAGTCCCATGCCTACCACAAGACGAAAAATCCGTTCCTCATGTCTCCCCAAAAATCACTAATTATTAATATTTTTTTTTTACAATTATTATTTTTATTTATGGTGAGCTCCAATGAAGTTTTAAATAGAAGCTTTTGCCACCTTAAAAAAGTGTTACTTGGCGACCAAGACATCTCAAGGATAGTAGACTCCTCATTTGGCTTAAAAAATAGAGCAAAAGTACATGATATTTGACAGGCTTTATTGTCCAATGAGGCGAGCCAAAAAGAAAAGCCAAAATATATTATAACCCCATGAGAGCACACTATTTATTTATTCCCTCGGATAAAACCTCATAGGGCTAAGGTTAATTTTAGGACCCCCAAATTGGGCTTGTAACCTCTTCAACCTTCACCTTAAGAAAAAGAAATTCAAATTGCTTCAAACCTTGGATTAAGCTTGAGAAAAACAAAAAAAACAGATTGCATCCTTTTTGCACTTAAAAAAAAAAAAAATCTCAATATTGATATAATATTAGAAGATGAGATCTAAGGGCTAGGAAATGCAAAATTTAGTTATTTTTTCTTTTAAAATAATAATATAACGATTTTTAGGAGTTTCCAAAATTGAAGGTTAAGTACTATATGTACACTATATGCTCCCTGGGAGCACGGTATACGAAAAGATAAAAGAAAAAGTAACCAGGAGGAGGAAGTGCGGTTCGCAAGAAAGAGTGTTTTTTTTGTTTTGAACCGTAACGTACAATTTATTATTAATTCAAATGTAAAATACTAAGATATTCAAACAAAAGAAAAAAATTACTTAAATGAAATAACGGTCTATAAAATACAAACTAGTATCTAAGGTATAGACCATTTCATGGGTTACTGGTTCCTTTCCCTGATACTAAGGCATAGACCATTTCATGGGCTACTGATTCCTTTCCCTGGACATTATAGGCCTCTTAATCTCTTAATCATAAACCACTGGTTACTTTTCCTGGATATTATAGGCCTCTTAATCATACACCATTTTGCAGTTACAAAGGTTACTTATCTTATAAAGGCTTATCTATAAGCATAGGTTAGCATATTATTGGAAAATATACGTAAATATTTTATTTTATTTTTAGTATTTTAATAATAGTTTCATAAATTTTTTATTCTACACTCAACTTCCACTTTTGAGAGTATATAATGTATGTTAATATATCTTTTATTCTATAGACGGGATTAAGTTCAAATTTGACATATTCATACTTCTTAGCATCACTTCTTCTTCTTTTTTTGACGAATATTATGAGCTTTTATTAAGAAGTTGCTTCATTACAAAGTAATCAACTCATTAGATACAAGAAGAGAAGAAAGAGAAACTCCAAACTTAGCAAGACCATGCAGTGTCATTTGTTTCACGAAGAATTGACCAAATGAAATCCGCAGAGATGATGAAGCACAAAGGTCCAAAATTTTAATCCAAATTCAGAATAAAGACCACGGGATCCTTTGCTCTTTCCTGCACCATTTGATAATGTTAAGTGAATCTCCATCGGCAATAATGTCTCCATTGAAACCCTTTACAATAATAATTTGCAGGCATCACATAAGTATTAAAAATGGAAAATTTTATTAAAAAAACTATTTTATTATCAAAATTTAAAATAATCTTACACATTTTATAGGTTTACATTCCAGTGTTTGCAAAATCGAACTGGAATGCTTAATCAGACATGGAGCCGGAAACAGTTTAACCGGCCTAAACGGTAAAGTAGCCGATTCAACCGTTCTAACCAGGCAAGTCCCACACAGTCAAAAAATTGTTGAAAAAAATAAAAAGTTACTAAAAAATCTACTAATATATGAAAAACATATAAAAGATGATTAAAACAAAACACATTCAAATGAAGTTGAAAATTAATGAAAAAATATATTTTAAAGAATCAATTTGTGCCTAGGGGTATTTTTTTATTTTTTTAAAAAGATGGAAAAATATAAAATTAAGTATTAATGACTAAAATAATTTATAATAATTACCAAAATGTAAAGAATATTAAAAATATATTACAAAACAAATTCCTTATGTTTGAAATTTTATATACATTTTATTAATTTTTTTTCTTAAATACCGGCCTTTCACCAAAACCGCCTGAAACTGGAACCAGCCACTCTAACTGGGCAGTTACCAGTTAGATCGATCGGTTTTTCCAACATGGTTACATTCAACTCCCACTTTTTGAGAGTATATAGTGCATTTTATTTTTATTTTTATTTTTTATCAAGGTCGAATTTGGGGAGTTGATACTTCTAACTATCTTACATTCGTAAAAAATACCAAAATTATTTTAAAAATTAAAATTTTGTAGGGGTATGTGGTAATTTTGATTCAATTAATTATATTTTTTAAATATTTTTGTCAAGCATGTTATGGTGAGAGGTATGGATGCCTCAAATTTGAACTTAATCCAATGCATATTGAAGACAATAATATTAAAATACAGTACATATTTTCAAAAAGTGGGACGTGCGCACTTGTGTTCAAGGGGAGGGAGTGATTTCATGTGACGGTACTATAATAATAATATAATGATGACTCTTTTTTAATTTAAAAATAACTATATATATATATATATTACAAATTTGCCCATATTATTCAACATATAGTCCACATGCTCATACACAATGGGATCAATGATTCAAAATTTGTCAAGCTGACTCATAATCGTTTGAATCAACTTGAGATTGATGTGGACCGGCTCAAGTCCCCCAAAGAATTGAAGGAGTTGAATGAAAATTTCTATCTCTCACATCTCTTAACTAAATCCTCTCAAAGTTTTCAAAAATCATTCTCTTTCATTAATGTAAGATAGTCCTGAACAGTATTTAGGATCCAATCATATTTATGGCTATAATCCGCCATTTTCTTTGATTTCGTGCAATTTCCTAAACTAAAAAATTCATGAAATTTGTGTCAAAAATGTCCTCATTATTCAGTCTACATTATGTAGTACACGACTTAAAACAATACTTTAGTAGATTCCAAATTATTTCTATGATTTTTTTTTTTTTTAAGAAAAAGCTAGTCTTTTTCTTATTGGGGAGATTTGAAACACATCAGTTTTGGACTGGACTGGCCTTCATACCAACCAAAAAATGGCATAATTGCTTTCCAATCGAGGAAAATCATTTTTTGGCTAATATGAGATGTTCTTTATTGCTTATCATCTTTTAAATCTATCATTATTTTATTTGTTTAGTTATTTATTTATCTATTTGATTGTTTTTGGTTTTTCTTTTGCAGGTCTTACCGACCCGACCCAATGAGTTGTCGTACTTGGCTAGACCCAATCAGTCGAACCAATCAGCGTATGTGTTTGATCAATAAGGCCAAGGCCTAGGGTCACCTTGGCAACCTAGGACGTCTGCCTACATCTCACATGGGGGGTTCACTGTGGATTACTATCAGCAACTTTAGCATGGCTGCTTACACTTGGGGGTGTATCACTTCAGTGACTTCAGTATCCACCTCTGTAACCTCATAGAAGATTACATCAAAAACACATGGAGGGTTGTGATTTTCAGTTTATTTAGTCAGAGAAGATTGATTACATATGGACATAAATTTAAAAACAATATTTACAACATACATAAAGGGTGGTATTTCAAAATGAGGAATGCATGGTACAACACACCACAGTGGAGATAAGCTCCTCTTGTAAAGATCAACAATGGAACCGACAGCACATCTCCACCGTCCATTGATGAGTACAAAAATAAAAAAGTGTGAAACTACAAAAGATGGAAAAAAAACAGTATCCCAAAGTCAACAGGCAAAATATAGATCCACAAATTAATGAAAAGAGTAGGGTTGCTGATTGATTCAGGGATAAAATCCAGTACCAATGGGCTAGCTTCCTTCCAATAATGATAAAGCCAGTAGGAATACAAAAAACATGGGGTAAGAAATACTAAACTTTTCATATATCCATTCAATATCAAAATCCAAAAAACACAAATAAACATGTCACTAACCCGTGCATCCATTAAATATAGGCCAAAAAAAAGCTCCCAACTTCATTAATTTTGCTTTTCCATGTAGATCCTTGCAGTCCACTCCAAGGTGCAGTCGGCAAAAATACAGCTGAAGACGAATTACAAACAACCATCCTCCACCTTAATAACCACGGTTAAATTCATAAGGACAGAACCATCCAAATACGGAAATAACGACCAACTCATAGAGAGAGAGAGAAGGGAGGGGTAGGGGAGTAAAGTTTCCCACTTCGTTTGAATCACTCCCAACCTCCTTGCACCGGAGACTAACTCACAAGATAAAACAAATAACTCTGTCCCGCATATATAATTATACACCAACCTCATCACTCACCAGACAACAGTTACAGTAAAAATGGATAGGGAAGATCCCGACCCCAACAAATGAGCATCTCCCTCTCTCCATCTCTCTAAACTTGCTCCTCATATTATCTCTCACTCTCTTAAAAGAGGTTTTCTACCCTGTGCCTCTTTTGCTCCCTCTCCCCATATTCATGATGCCGGCTCACACGAATCCCATCCCTCTCCCTCTCATGGTGCTGATATCCATGACGATGGCCCAAAACCGGTGATGCACCGTGCCCAACAGATTCGGAGGCATCAAGGCCTGACAACTCCCCTTCCTCGGTATTACCACCACCACCAAACAATACATCACCATCATCACCAATCCCGTTGCCCGAATCCAATGATCTTGATCGCTTCCTATTCTCACCTGGACCCAAAAACCCATCATCAGAAGACTCAGGTGGGAAGTGACCCCCACGACGTGTCTTTTTCTCGGCCTCTGCTGCCATTTCTACGCCATTCTCGAGCTCGCGCTCTATCAAATCATCCTCGTCAACAAAATCCGACTTCTTGGGGGCGGCAGGGGTGTTGCGGCGCTTCTCAAGGGCGGCCTTCACCTTGTCCTTGTCAATCTTCCCGATCACATTCGGCACGGGAACCCGCCACCTCTCATCCTTGCTGTTGGGCTCTGTTGGCTCCCTTTGGGGGTGGGGCCCACCGCCTTGAGAGTGGTCCCCATGGTACCTGCTCGGTCTGTGGTCCCCACCAGCTTGAGGATGGTTCCCGTGGTAATTGCTCAATCGGTGGTCTCCACCATGGTCTTCTGGTAGGGTGGTGGTGGTGCCATTGGCGGATGCCAGTTCATCGTTGCCGGAGACTGGGGCCCTGGTGGCAGCAGCGGTGGAAGGCTGAGCATTAGGAGGAGGAGGCCGATGTTGGTGATTTGTTGGGGGTGCAGTGCTTCCCCCAGCACCGGTGCTTCCCTCAACCTCGCTACCATGGGAAGGTGGTGGAGGTGCTGTTCGATTTTGCTCGTATAGCTCGAGCATCTGATTGCTCACCTCTGTTTAAAAGCAAAACAATCATACCAACACATGAATAAGAATTTCCTGTTCTTTTCATTTCTTATTTTTATTAATTTTGCAGAAATAGGGATTTTAAAGGAAGTTCATCAAATACACCTAAAATTTGAACTATTTAACATTTTACCCAGGTGTAATTTAATAGATTTCATAACTCATTTTAATGTGTCATTTGGATGGGCTATTTGAAACTAAATAGTTCATATCTTAGGTGTAGATAAATAAATTTCCCCATTTTGAAAAAAAAAATCTCGTTCAACATATCTGTTGGCCACACTCTGTGGATATCACTGTTTGGTACTTTGGTTAGTAGGTTTATGCTGTGTAATATATCTGAGACAAAACTGCAACTACCTGTAACAGTTTCTTGGTCAGGCTCAATCCAGGTTGAGATCAATCTGTTGCCACAATCTGTTGCCATTATATTTTACAATTTTCACCATGGACAAATTACACAAGATACCCCACCCATCGCTTCTTTTTCTTGGTAGGCGATGTGGGATTCGATCCTTGGATGTTGCAACACCCTAATCATGAAGACCAGGGTCCTAAGCCTCCCACCCATAAGTAAATTTTACAATTTTGACCATGGACAAATTACACAAGATTCCCCACCCATAGCTTCTTTTTCTTGGTAGGCAATGTGGGATTCGATCCTTGGATGTTGCAACACCCTAATCATGAAGTCAAGGGTCCTGAGCCTCCCACCCTTAAGTAAATTTGCAGGTCAGTCGATGGCCACAGTGCATCCCAAAATATGCAAGTCAATGAACTTAAAACATTACAAGAAATCAGTAGGAAAGGCTGGCAAACAACATGGGAAAGTATGCTATCCAATCATTTGGACTGCAGTTTCTGAACACTTCCCCAACCATCAGATGTCAAAAATGGACAGTTGGGGGTGTCATGGCCTGGCTCAAAGTCCATCAAATATTTGGACATGAATGGAGGAACTACACATGCCATTCATTGGTAGCATCAAACACTCAAAGGGAGTGCTAGGAAACTAAGGGAAGCCTTTTGACAGAATAGGATACAAACCCATACACTATTTGGGTCACATTTACTAGTTACCATTTTTCTTTTCATGATATCCTTTCATTAAGAAAGTGAGTTCCAAACATGTGAAAAAAACACACTAAAGCATGATTAAAAGAAACATCTGATAATCCCGGGGAAGGGAATAAATACAGATATTAGTTTATCTTCTTTTATTTTTGAATAAACAATGAGTTTATCTTTTTCTTTCGCATCTTGATATTAGTATCAAGAAAGAAAATAATGTTTCCTCCAGCAATGGAAAAGCATTACCTTCTAACTGTCGTGGGGTTACATCAAATTCTTGCCACCAGACCTTCTCACCATCGGAAGGCAGCTTCACTTTCAGAAACTTAGCAGCGAGGAAGATAGCTCCAGCAGCAATGTGATGGGGTTTGAATTGCAGACAGAGTGATGTCCGCAGCCTGCATACCCCTTAACGATTGGGTAAACAGATGCTCTGACAGAGAGAGAGAGAGAGAGAGAGAAAGAGAGAGAGTCCTTTGACTTTATCCAATAAAGAATATAGCAAGGACAACATACCCATCATTCACAAAATTCCACGCCACTTGGGCAAGAGCATTTTGGGCAACCTTGAATTTCTTGATCGCCTCAACAAGGGGCTTATATGGATGGTGTACATTGAGATCAAAGCCAAGAGTGGCCAGCACGACCCGCTCCCCTAGTAAAATAAGCTCCTTCTGCTGCTCATATACTTCCTGTTTAATGCAACCATGAAGTAAGTCCGACATCCGAATTATAATAGTCTGACAAGAGACCAACAACTTTTTCTTGGGGAATAGTTCAACAGTAAGATTTGAACTCGGGACACATGCGGCAATTATCAACACCTTGACCAATCAAACCCGAACGTATATCCCAAAGACCAACAACTTCAAATATTGGTAACATTTCATTTAGAGGAGACACTATCAAGAAGTTTGCCCATTAAGACTCCTAGGATTTAAGCTGCTATCCACCAAAATCCCAATTATCAGTGTGCTCAAACACATAAGGATGTATAATGGTGCCTCATCATTTTTAGACAAGGATCAGAAGTAAAAGAGGCAGCAATTTAATACTTCATATATTTGAGAGGGGGTATCAGTATACTATGTCAGCAAAAATTAATGCAATTCACACCAAAAAGGTAAAGAGGTTGCTGGAAATCTGTAAAATCCGACAATTATTGGGGCCCATATATGCAAATAGTAATTGTTAAAAGAAAGTGACAAAAGCAAGACATGGTGGATGATCAATGGCAAAAGGGGAGAATAAATGTATACTTTTTGCTTAATCCTCTGGACGGCAGAAGGATCCTTTTTGTGGATGATTTCATAGGAGACAAGAATGACATCCCTTAATGGCCGAGGAGTTTCTTCTACCTTCCCCGCAAGGAACATGCACACTGTTGCAATGGTCTGCAAAAAATATTCTCAGTTTGAAGACGGACTTTTCTTTAGGGGAATAACCGACGATGAAAGAACAAAAGTACATCTCTAACCATCATATAACACAAAGAATAAGAAGATATCCATTTAAGCAATGAACAGATGATGAACAACTATATTCAATTTATTGCAAATATACGAGCATCATACTGAAAGAACTCACAAAATGGGAGATTCAACAGAAGGAATTTGTTCTCTCCCTCTTCTTTTCTTTCCCACTTTTTGCAGCAAAAAAGAGCGCCAAAATAACAGTGTAATCTCGAGACCGGAGTAAATACTTCCATTTAGGCTCAGGCATTTTCATACTTCCCAGGATGCGTGCATGAAAATGCTTTATACACATTCCCCCTTTATTTGATAAATGGAAGAGTCCCAGAAGGAAAATTTACTTTATTAGACAAGAGGAAAAAGAGCTCACAGACATCACAGCAACAGGAACAAGCCAAGAGTACATATCATATGTCTCGTGAAGATACCATCCTTTATTCAGATAGCAATGGGATCATAAGCAAGCTTTCAAAACATAAATTTTTGCAACAAGCAAGCTCACCAATCATTTTTTGACATAAATTCAGAGTTAAAAATGTCTAAATATGGTTTTCAAGGGACATAGCATTTATCTAGCTTTCCCATCAAATGATTCAAAGAAATCCTACGAGCCGAAACACAACAAAAGTGTCTCTTCTATTTAACCGCAACAACCACAACTCAAACAAATCAAAAGTTCGTTTCTTGTCACTAACCCCATCTCACATCAGCAGACATCTTAAGGCGGGAACTGTTTCAGTTACTATAAACACATACCGTGAAAGGTTCACAAAGTGCCTACATACATACTGTCTCAGTTACTACAAACACTTCTCTATGCCATCTTCTCACACAAAGCCCACCTCTCTGTCATTAAATCTCCTGCTATTTCAGGCCCCATAGTCACCTACTCTGGTTCAGATGGCACAGATCAACCCTTCTATGGCTTTAACACTAGATATACATCATCAATTTCCTAGTACAACTCATCATTAGTTCAGAGTGGGGTTTTGTCTCCATTTCTGATGCAGTAGTTACTTGAAATCAATTGGATCTCACAAAAAGCGGTAAATGACCAAACCATTCATCCAACTGGCAGACTTGGGCTCTCTCTCAGTAGGGATCTTGCAGCTGAATATGGCACTATAGGTAGACATTTGCAGTTGAGATGTCGAATTCGGAGGAGGTTGGAGAAATACCCTCAACTTCCAAGTACACGATACGCACCCACAAGGTGATCCCCACCTCACTCCCTCTTAGGGCAAGGCAAGTTCCTTTAATTTAGAGAGAAACACAAGACCGGAGAGTCCGGTGAAGGTGGAGGAGGAGGATTTGTGATTCAAGTAGGCAGTTTGGCTATATTCTCGCTATTGAGGGGAGAATGCCATGCACTAAGTCAAAACAGGATTTATTTTTGCTTTTCTTCTCCTTTGTTGTGAGATTTTGGTTCTCAGTTGCAAAGGATCCTAACATCCAGTATCAAATGAAATGTCCAGTTTAGGAATACTTGTAACATTTATTTGCTCAAAACTTTGGAGTAATCAGTGTTAGTGTTGTTCCCATGTAAGTTGAATTTATTTCTCTCTCTCTCATGTTGTTCCCGTGCAATTTAGATTTTTCTCTCACTCTCTCCTCTCAATAAAGGAATGAATCTCTCTCTCTATTTGTTTCATACTGGGTGGGTGTGACAGAGAAGTGAAGGGTGAGAAAAAAGAAGTAATATTATTAACAAAGAGGTACATGCAAAACAACAACAAATTAATATTGTATTGATAAGGTACCTCCAAACAGCTAAAAAAGTAATATTGTATAGAAATTATTAATTTGAGACATAGTATATACGCATAAAGATTTAATTATCATCCAAATAGGCCCTTGAAGTATAAAATTCCCAGACTGAGAATAAGCACATTATCCCCTTTCATTTGAATAATAAACTAACTCGCTCTAAAGCAAATTGCATGTCTAACAAAGGCATGGTCAGCAAATGTCAAAGAGCACAGCTGCTGAACTTTCCAAAAAACTAAGGGACCAGATCAAGATCACCATGCACAACGAAAAAGGATTCAGGTCATGTTTCATTCTGTGTATGACATTTAAGATAACTGCTATGTATACTCCGGAGCATGTGCACCAAACCTTGTCTCACACAATAACATTTAGTGGGCCCAATAATCTGAAATTGTTTAGAGTACACTAAAATAAATGAATAACAATTTTGCACATATAGAAGCTAATAACAAAACACTAAACAGATTTTTATGCTGCCAATGGCATCCACTAAGAGGCTCAAAGTTCAAATGGATAAAAGAAAAGTGTATCATACTATCAGAAGGATAGAGGAAATTAATGGGAATGAGGATTCAAAGCATGTCGTATAGCACTTCATATATTCACACACAAAACCTACACTTACCCGCCGATCATTTTTTAAATGAGACTGACGAAGGAAAAAGCGATGGCAGAATATGATCGCTGTAGCTATTGTCACCTGAGGTCTGCATAAAAAGCAAGCTCCTTACAATTTGTGCACAAGTACAAATTGAATGAAACGAAAAGCAATGAGCAGCAAAACTGATATGCAAAGAATTTCCAAAAGATTATTACAACAATGTTAAATAGAGACAATACCTCACTTCAGCTCATAAATCATTTATTCTATTGTGATTCAGTAAGGGAAATTTGAAAAGATTAAACTCTAGAACAATAAACATGGGCAAGAATTTGCAAAAGAAGGCAATGTTTAAAAAAAGGGGCTGTCCAGCACCTAGCGCCCACATAGGAGCCCAATGGGCCCTAGACCGCACACCCAGGCCTAGGCACCCCTCCCTAGGCACCAGTACCTGGGTGGGAACCCAATGCCCAATCTTGGGCGAGCGCTTAGGGCCTAAGCCCTTCATTGAACATAGATTGAGTAAAAAAGTTCGTTTGCAATCTATATTTCAGATTCTTTTTTTGGATTTGAGATGTCTTCCTCAGGGTCTAATAGGAGTGGGGTTTAAGGAAGGAAGTATTACATTAACCTAAATAAAGGGTCTAATAGGAGTGGGGTTTAAGGAAGGAAGTATTACATTAACCTAAATAAAAATGACAGATGCAATTTTCGTAGACATGTTTCAAATATTGGGATAAATAGGTTCAAGAAATATCTTGCCAGTATTGGAGAGGATGTTGCCCCATGTAAAACAGTTCCCGAACTTGTGAAAAAAGAGATTATTGACTCAATAGAACTCGAAAATAAGAAAAAATCAACAAAGAGAAGGATATAGTAGAATTGAGAGCAAGGTTAATATTTTTGATGATGATGACACTAATGAGGATGATGAAGGGGGAGAGGAGGTGGGTCCAGTGGCAGTCTCTCAGAGTTCTAAGTAGGGTTTCGGCTCTAGGAGGCCCGGTAAGAAAGGGCCCAATGGTGCCTTTTTTTACACTTAACCCCGAGACTGCAGTTGATAAAGGAAAAGGCAAGGGGAAGACGAAAGTGACACTAGAAACAAATATATGAAGGAAGATAGAGGCCGAGTAAGTCAATATATTTCTAGGTGGTTTTAACATGTGGCATTTCTTTTAATACTCATTTAAGTAGGCTTCCAAACAATGTTGGAAGCAACTGGCCAATTTGGGCCATGATTGAAAGGCCCTACTGAAGAAAGAGGTAGAACTACCTCAAGTACCATAAGGGTGGGTGGGCTCAATTCAGGGTTTCCATAATGATTGATTCATGGAGTGTTAGGAGGAGTATCATGACTCTGTACAATATTTTGATATGCATTGATGCTTTTGAAGAAGTTAACGATGTGTATTTACATATTCTATTTTATTGTTAAAGGTATTGAAGATGTTGGGGACGAGCATGTAATTTAAGTGGTCAAGGATAATGCTACTCCTAATTTAGTAACAGCTCATTTTATTCGCCAAAAGAGGCCTAGCATATTTTGGAAACCTTGCGTCTGCACATTGCAGGCCTTATGCTTGAGGCTACCGATGACTTGTCTAGTATTAAAGGGACAATTTCTAAGGCTAAGGAGGTCACAACTTCATATACAACCACACCAGTACCCTTAGCAAGATGCGCACATTCACAAAAAAGGAGCTAGTGAGGGCCGGGGTCCCCAGATTTGCTACTGCTTACATGAGTCTTGAGAGCATATGTAGTAGGAGGATCCCATTGAGATCCATGCTCACTTCAGAGGATTTGAGGTCTAGGAGGTCTATAGATTCCAAAGGAAAGAGGGCCCATGATATTATTCTTTCTTAGTTTTTGGGGTGGGGTAAAGCACTTCTAGCAGTATTTCTACCCTTGGTCAAGACCTTGCATTTGGCTGATGCTCACAAGCCCTCTATGGGCTTTATACATGATGCACTAAAAGGAGCTAAGAAAGAGATAGGTAAAGAAGTTTGGCAATGCCAAGTATGTCCAAATGTGGACGATTATAGATACCAAGTGCGATAGGCAACTTCAAAGACCATTGTATGTAGTTGGGTACCATTTGAACCAGTGTTTTAAAATGCGGCCGCATCACGGCATATGCAGCCGCATCAGGTATGATGCGTTGCCCAATACATCAAAAATCACCACATATGCGGTTTGGAAAGATGCGTCGCATCTCTCTGCATCTGAGCCGCATCAGGCCACATAATCTTCCACCATTTTTTTTTCTAAACTGTACCCCTTGAGCAGCAGTAATAAGCTCATTTTGACCTTCGAAAATGGGAGGCAAGCGTTTTAGAGGGTATTAAACACCCCCCTCTCAAACAACATTTTTTAGCCACATCTGTGGCTTTTATTGGATCGATCGAATCAAAAAAAAATCTGGGCTCTTCGTTTCCCAATGGTACAATCTCCTCCATCATCGACCGTACTTGACTACAAGGCCAAATAACTAGCAACCTCCTCCTGAGATAATGATTAAGTTAAACTTTGATGGGTGCTCCCTAGGTAATTTGAGCCCAGCAAGGGCAGGAGGGGTTTTTCGAGACCACAAACGCACTATCCTCCTTACACTATCTGAGAACTTTGGACAAAAGGACTCACATCACATTGAAGCCTTAGCCCTTTTAATTGCCCTGAAACACTACAATCAGTCATGAGGCTTACATCTCATAATGGAAGGTGACTCACAAAACGTCATCTCCTGAGCAAGTAGAACAAGCCCTCCACCTTGGCATTCCAATTTTTTATGAGATACATCACATATGCAGGGCTATGGACGTCTCATGGAAGCATATATGGAGGACGTCCAAAGGTTACGCAAATCAGTTGGCAAAAGCGGGTGCTAGAAGTCAAAGTCAAGATGTTCAAGCCGAGTCCACCTTCTTTTTTGCGCGGGACCAATGGCACACAACTTAAACCTCCCTGCCTGAGTTTTTGCACAGTTGTTTGTTTTTGAAAGCCCATTGTAAATCTTTGTATTTGGGCATCTCTATAGCCCCTTTTTGTACATGATAGTCTAAACGATTTTTTTGCCGAGTCCCCATCTATGGGTGACATCGAACCACTCTTGCCATGTAATCTTTTACCATTGTAATACAAGTTAACTTCATCAAAAAAAAAAAAAAACTGGGCGAAAATTTTATTTGTTGAAGTTCTTTGATTTGTGCACTTGTTGATGCTTGGTTGTTGATTTCAGGAAAGGGTTTTGGGGGGTATTAAACCCCCCAAAAAAATGATGATTGTAATGACTCTTCTTGAGCTTGATTTTAAACTCTTTAATCTTCATGGACTTTCAGTTTGTAGTATTTTCTGACTTTAAAGTTTGTGGTTGTAGATTTGTGCTTATGATTGTTGATTGTTGAATGCTTTATGAAGCTAGTTTCAAATTTCTAATTTCTATCAGGGAGATAGTGGATACAGAATCTCTGACAGCTAATACTTTTGGAGTTAATGAATAAATTAAATAACTACTATCACATATATCACCTCCATCAAAGTTATGTGTGCCTTAACATTTTTCTCATCTAATGTGTCTAGTAATAATCAGGAAATATTGGCAAAGGGAAGAAATTTAATATGGTTTTGCAAGCAAAATTGGGAATACTCCAATTTACTTGAGTTTGTAAGCTTAACAAGTATATAAATTGCAAAAGGAGACGTGAACACTAAGATTAAGCCAGGTGCTGGACATTCTTTCAGAAACATTTTTTTAAAAGAAATCCTTTAAGAAACATTTCAAGAATTTTGTTGTGAACGACTCTTCATTAAAGAAAAGGAAAAGAAGGAATTTACGAACAACGCTTGATCTAAAGCTGAAAGTCGACCATGATAAAAAAGTGAGCAGTAAATTAATAAAATAAAGTTCCTGGGCATGGGTATGGGCATGGGTATGGGATTAACGAAAACAAAAGAAAACAATTATCAGCAAAGAAATAAGAAGACTCCAAAGAAAAAATATCATATCGACATTTTGTATTGGCAATTTTTTATTGGTAACCAAAATTTATTAAAACAAGGAAAAGGGTATCCGAAATTTTTTAACTTCATCAACTATTTTGGACAATAGGGTATCATGTCTGCTTTCCAACAGAGACCCATGGCAGATATCAAAATGTACTTCAAACTACAGAATCTGTCAAATGAAACTCACAGAATATGGCAGTCTGCTCCTTACACAGTGAAATTTGATCACCATGGTTTGCTACAACTACAAAATCAATCAACTCGAACTACAAGCACAGGTACCAGTAGAGACTAGAGAGCGGTAGAGAGTGAGAGAGGAACAGGTAGAAGCACATGTACTAAATAATTAGGCCTATTTACGCTTATTTGAGTTTTCACTATTTTCCACAACCCATTTTCGTTGCAAAGGAAACAAATCAGAAGGGTTGATTAGGTGAACATTTCTGCCTTTTGAAGAAAGGTCGACATGATCTGATGAACATTTTTCTGCTAGAAAAGAACATACAAGGTTCTCCATTTTACTTAAGGAAATACTCTGCTAGCTTGATCAGGGTTCCCATGAGGCCATTCATCCATGATGAGTAGGCCTCATTTTTTTTTAATGAAAAGTTAACTTATGAATAGCCCCCATTTTCATAGAGATTTGCTATATTCGGCATGAGTCCTATCAGTTGGTTGACTCACTAGCTAAGAAAAGGAACTAGAAACTTCCTCACCATCTTCCGAACTGGTTCACAAGCCCCAGCCGACCCATAGTATGTTAGATATTCTTGTTCAAGCTCGGATCAAATGTAAATCACAAAATTATTTTTGTGATTTACACTGATACTTGTAAATTTCTAACACAAATTAATGAAACTATACAAACATAACATCCTAAACAAATTAAAAAATATATCCTGCAAGACAGTGAACAAATCATAGATTTACAAGGACTGTATCTATTAAGACATCTGAAATTGAATAAATCCAATGCATGGGAAGAGCATACTTATCCATAATAACAAGGACAAAGCAAAAGCAAAAGCACACAAAATAAACTACAACAAACTTACACTTTAAGCCGCATGCCTAAATCTTGAAGAAATGTGCAATATGATTTACGAAAATATGTCTCTTTCTTCAAATCAATTCCATCTCTTCTAGATGGGGAGTTCTCTTCTATTTCCTTCCTGCCGAAGTACCAATTAGAACTCGAATGATCTGGCTCCTCCAGCTTGTCATGAGTGTATGAACCACTTTCTGCTATTCCATGATGAGATGGATCCCCAGGTAACACTCCCGCCATTTCTCGTTCTCGTTTGAATGAGAATATCAAGATTCAAATAACATAGTCAACCCCAGTCTGGAAAACACTCAGCTCTGTAGGAAAAATTGTTGCAATGTATCATACTCAGTTTCCAGTGCATAACAGAGAGAATCTAGCAAGCCAGGCAACAAGAAAATATTAATATGCTGTTGCCTATAAGAAACGGCATCATTTATTCTACGCATGAAGATATAAAACTCTTTTAAGAAACTTTAGCTATATTAGCAAATAAATAGTCAAACAAAGAATAATAGAACCACAGCATACCACAACCACTCTTTGAGGGTGCAAAAACAACCTAAGAACTAAGAAGAAAACAAACGTAGGAGAAGAAAGACAAACACATTGTTAATGATCACAATACTGTTTAAGTGCATATATTGAAGAAACGAAAAATCATTTTGATTGTTTTTAATACCAACACTCAGATTTTCAAAAGAGTCCAGAAAAGCCTCTGGCAGATAATACCCGAACCCACTACCTCCTATATCTATTGACAAAGACTGTCAGTGAGAGAAACCCCAAGGAGACATAGGGGACCTTCCAATAAGTCAATCTTCAAGACTGCCATCAAGCCCCTCAATGCCCAGAGCCTTTCCCCAAAACTCATACAATAGAAGGTGAATTTTCATGCAATCTTGAAAAAGTGTTGCTACTTTCTGCCTTTTAACAGATTTATGTTTCTGAGCTAGTGGGTATGGTATGTCTAGGTTCTGAGTCACCAGACAATGCCTCTTTCAGCACCCTTGCGTATGACATGTAGAAGACTGAGTGGTGTGGCCACGCAATCAAATCCCCATCTCCAAGAGCTTTCAATGCTAATGCTGCTATCAACCCACTGATGAATGATCACTATCCCTTGCTCCACAAGCACTATAAACGCATCCACATAAGCCAAACCTTCATGCCCAATTAACTAGGGATTCCCAAAGGCCATGAACGACAAAAGAGGACATTATTCAAATGGTGCAGCAAGGGCTTGGAATCTATCTTCATCAAGCACAAGAAGGAAAAGTGTGGCGCAATTTCTTAGTAAATGTTTTAAGCGGGTCTTTTTTCAAACTACTTATTGTAATAAGTCAACGAAATTTTATTATAACATGTTATGTCAGTTATTCTTCTAAAAAATATTGACAAGAGTTTGTTTATTGTAATTATTCACGAGAGATCTGACCAATCTCACAATATTTTTTAATTTCTCAAAAACAGACTTTTCACAAGTGAACATATGTGAAGGCCTGACAAGGACATTCTCAACAGAGATACATAAAGGGAAGAACATTTATGTGCATGAGAACACCTTCATGAGGTGACTTTACCAATACATCACCACTGAAAGCACCTACTCTTAAGGCAAAGCAAAAATGAAAAAGCCCACAAACCCACTTCAGGGACACCAAATATATAATTTAGCTCTCCATTAAAAATTTAAAATATCAGTGATATTGCACCACTTACACACACAAACGATGAAATTAAAACTCCCAATGCCAACAAGCTAAGACTGATTTTCCTAGATGAAATCAATGTCATCATCATCATCAGAGCCTTTTCCCAACTAATTGTGGTCGGCTACACGAATCCTGGTCCACCATTCTGCTTTATTCCAGTTTTTCTCCTTAAAAATATTAACAAGAGTTTGTTTATTGTAATTATATACGAGAGATCTGACCAATCTAATGATATTTTAATTTCTCAACTAACAGAATTTTCACAAGTGAACATATGTAAAGGCTTGACAAGGCCATTCTCAACAAAGATACATACAAGGAAGAACATGTATGTGCATGAGTACACCTTCATGAGGTGACTTCACCAGTACATCACCACTGAAAGCATCTACTTTTAAGGCAAAACAAAAATGAAAAAGCCCACAAACCCACTTCAGGGACACCGAATATATCATTTAGCTCTCCATTAAAATATCAGTGATATTGCACCAATTACACATGAAAACGGTGAAATTAAAACTCCCAATGCCGACAAGCCAAGACTGATTTTCCTAGATAAAATCAATGTCATCATCATCAGAGCCTTTTCCCAAGTAATTGTGATTGGCTACACGAATCCCAGTCCGTCATTCGGCTTTATCACGGGCCATAGCCTCAGTAAGGCCATAAGTCCCCATATCTTTTCTCACTACTTCCAACCCTATCCTTTTGGACCTACCCCTTGCCCTCTTTGAGCCTTTCACTTGAACCAACTCGCACTTCCTAACAGGTGTTTTACTGGGTCTACACTGCACATTGCCAGCCCACCTAAGTATGCTTTCTCACATCTTATCGTCTATTGGTGTCATACCTAAATTCTCCTGAATGTATTCATTTCGAATTCTATTCTTTCTTGTCTTGCCACTCATCGATCTCAACATCATCATCTCAGCTACACTCATTCTATGGATATGTTGTTTTGTTACTACTCAGTATTCTGCCCCACAAAACAAAGCTGGTCTCACAATTGTCCTATAAAATTTTCCTTCAGCTTCATTGATACACAGCGATCACATAAAATTCTAGTTGCAAATCTCCACTTCGCCTACCCAGCTCTAATTCTACGTGTGACATCTTCCTTACTCTCACTCCTAGTTAAGCTAGATCTGATGTCCTATGATGGAATAAACATCTTGTTAGGTTGTTAAATTAGAGATACTCAAATTTAGTAATTATTTGCTTCTACTATATGTAGGACAAGTGGTCAATGTATATAAGGAACAATAGTTCTAGTTGCCATGTCTGATCAGTTAAATGTGGCCCACATGCTTATAAGTGAGCAAATGACGTCCTTTGCAATCGAAAGAGACATACTTAACATTTGCATATGAGTATTGACAATCATAGATATCACATAGGTGTTGGTTCTTTTAAGGACTCAAAGAAATGTCTGCAATGCAGACAATGGAAGAAAAAAAAAAATTAAAGCATGATTGCAAGTATCAAAAATCCAAATCATCATCATCAATTAAGAATTTTTAATTGAATTGGAAATAATCACAAACAAGATAAATATAAACTTATAAAATAAGAGAAAGCGTAGTGAACCACCATCATCAGATAATTCTAAATTTTACAATTAAAATCAAATCATATGTTCCACAGACTTAATCAAACATGTAACACTCTTGAACACCCAAATGTATTATGCAAACTCTTTCCTTAAATATGTAATTTTGGTGAAATACAAGGCCCAAACTTCTCTTCTATTCCACACAAAGACACCAAATTTATCAAAAATATATAACTTTCTCTGCAGGTTCTCTAGGATTCTCCCTGTTGCTAACTTTCCCAGAATATGTGAAGAAAATGAAAATCGGTAGCCTAAAAGTTGGGAACCCTATTTGATAAATTGTGATGCTGCTATTGTTACCTATTTGGTAGTGAGAAAGCAGAAAACAGCTTGTTTTAACCGTTTGTTATGTATTGATTTGATGCGCAAAATGTATATTTTGAATATGATTTTCTTGCTACCACCCATCTAATGCATTTCTTACAATACATCATTAAGATTGGAATTTAATCTCATATCTATGTAACTTACGAAAGAAAAGCCCTCAATAAAAAATAAAAATTCAACCACATGAGTGCACCAGAATAGATAAGTACATAACCATGTCTAAAGTTCACCATAACTGTCTTATGAAACTCCAAGCATGACAATATTCTGAAAGCATGACAATATTCTGTTACAACTCAAGGCAAAATATATGAACACATATGGAGAACTGTATAACTCAATACAATTCTATATGATAAACTTTGGATCCTTGCATGAAAATACTTGCATGAAAACATCCATTCATATCAATTATGGATCCTTCTAATACTTTTAGGCCAAAACTTTCATAAATAGTTAAATACATATCTTATAAAATGTAATGGTTAAGATTCAAGTTTGTTTTCATGTCGTGCAATGCTCATCGAACATTTGGATCCCAAAAAACAGGAGAGCATATTGACAACTGGAAAAGAAACACTAACTCTAATCCAAAGAATGCAATTAACACAATAATTTCTCCCATAAAACCAAACAAAAGGAAAACAAATTTCAGTCCAACCACTCATTTGAACCACAGAGTCTGCCCATGGCAATTCTTCATAATAATAGCAATAATTTCCAACAAAAATTATGGAACAAAATAATTGACTGCTCAACTTATCCTTGGCATAAATTTTAAAAAAAGTGCAAAAGAAAAAATGAGCACTAATGATGAATAAATCATGGATAAACGGAATAAAATATTCATGGAAATTACTAAGATGTGAAAAATTACAGAAATAGCAAAGCAATCAGACAACAACGAGGTGGCCAATTATTGGCACATCATGAAAAACCAGAATCAGATCACACCAAAACATGGTCGAATTCCACCTCAAAACACATTAGAAAAATAATGGCAACTCAAAAGAAGCAAATGAACAGCAACTCAAAAGAGGCAAAAAAGAATCACACCTCACAACACAGTGCAAAAAAAAAAAAAATTCCCAAAATGGACATGCCATTCATGATGAAAAGACCAAAAATACAGAAAATTTGAAGAAAAAAAAAAGAAACTAGACAACAGACCTGTGAATGATTCTTGAGTTAAATAAGTAGAATAAACCAACTCGACCCTATTAAAGTTGGGTATTGATATTCCGTGTAATCTCTTTAACAGAAAACCGTATACTAGATTTGGGTATTCTCTAATGCAAAACTAACATTAACAGCAAAACCCTCTAGAGAGAAATCAATGAAGCCTCCAACCACAATATCGAGAGACAGACCAAAATCATCTCAAAGTTCTAGAGAGAGACTAAAGATTGAATAATATCTAGAGAAAACACAAAATTTGGCTGAGTAAAGCCAGTCTCGTAAATTGTAGAGAGAGAAACAAAGAGACCAAGACCATGAGAGAGAGATGGATGAGCGTACCTGCTATCCTCCGTCCACAGCGAGAGAGAAGTGAGTGAAGTTTGGGCGAGGAGGAGGGAAGTAGCAGGGCTGTGTCTCTGTGGGCCGAGCGGCAATGGAAGGTCGAGATTGGGGTTGAAGCTCGGTTGGGCAATTCAAGGGTTTTATTTTTAGGGCTCGCTTGACTTGCTCAGGAGTCCCCTATGGTCCGCCGCTTTACTCATGAACAGTATTGGTACATTTCATATAAATATATAAACTAAAATTTTTCAGATACACCCTCCGAAGCCATTCCTTGGTCCCAAAGGAACAACTTGTTTAAATACGAACCAAATCTCACAAAGTCATGTGTGTACCACATTTAGGGTGCTGTGTGGCCGTTTTTGTATGAAGTTGTACAGAACAAGGGAAAAATAGGTTCTTATAGGGAAATCTAGGAAAGGAAAATATTTATATTGAGCCGAGGCTCTAAACAATTAAATTAGAGCACACCTATAAAATTTCACTAGAAGATGTTGTTTTGATGCTCAAATATCGTCAAATCGATCATCTAGACATCAAAATATATGTACATGAGATAAAAAATAGATTTCAAATTTTAGAAATAGTACATCTTTCATACATTTTTAGACCATCAATTTTTAAAACTTTCAAAGTTTTCATATATTTGTTAGATCTACACTATTTTTTAGGTTTGAAATTTTATAATTAAAAATTAAAATATATTTTAAAGCTATCACAAAGATTTTCAGTATTGAAATTAACATTTCTCGGTAGATGTGTTTTTCCTTCGATTGTTAAGAGCCCGGCTCTATACAAAGCACACCATTTATTAAAACCACATCAACATGGTGCTCCTGCGGGAGCATACCGTGGCATCAATGTTCTATGGCAAATGAAATTTTTTAGAGTTTTTAAGATAAATTATGGTAAATTTCTCTCAAATCTTTCCAGTACCATTTTCTCTTTTATTTGCGGTCATACCTATTTTTTCACTTTTTCTTTACCCTCAACATGACTTTTATAGACGTAATATGGCTAGACTGTCCATAAGCACCTTTTAAAATTCCCCATAGAAGTCAACAATCACTGTTGCTATTTGGGTAGGGGTGGCAATGGGTCAGGTCCATATAAGTCCAGGTCTCAAAAATATAATGCGAGATCGAGACCCAATTGGATCTCAAGGGTGGCAATGGGTTAGGTCGGTATAAGTCCGGGTCTCAAAAATATAATGTGAGATCGAGACCTGATTGGACAGAGATCCAAATAATGTTCGGCTTCAAGTTTTGGACCTGGAGCGGACTTGTTGGGTCCAATTTTTTGAGACCTAGACCTGACTTGACAGATCCAATTTTTTAACCCATACCCGAACCCAACTATGCTCTATCTATCGGATATGGGTCCATTGCGAACCTTATCGTTGGATTCTCAAAGTTAACGTGCAAGATATTGAAAAATGACATTAAATGATTTATGCACCTTTAATATATGCAATTTCCATTCCAAAAGCTCTAAGAATCACATGTGTTATTTGAATTTTCATGCATCATCTATATTTTATGATAGGATACTGAATACTTAATCGTTATAGCTTCCTCAAATTTATCCCTACCCTAAGTCTTCTTCTTTAAAATAAATAATAAAAATAAAATTACACCCGTACTTCCTTCTCTTCCTAAAGATTTTGAGAGATTGGCGAGATACAAGCAAAATTACCATGCACAGTGCCTTGAATCTCTCAAATAGACTCTATCATGTCTAGCGATAGAGATGTAGGGTCATCTTTTACTATTGTGTCCACCTATTGATAGTGATTTAATAATATAGTACAGTATGGGCAGTAATTTTTTGTATAATAATATAATGCAATAACTTTCAAAAATTATGTTAGGGCCCTTTGTTTGATCCAAATTTCAAAATATACACTTTTTTCATTCTAATGAACAATCACAAAAAAAAAAAAAAAAATTGAAAATGCAACCTATAAAGTATTTTTTTAGCCCAATTAATATAGGTTATCCATTTTCGTGATATGCTTAAATCTAGACTTTAGAATGATCTTTTTCCTTTCCAAATGTTTTAGAAATTTTTATTATCATTATATTAATAATATTAAACAAGAAAAAAATAATTTTGAATTCACAAAGGCCTAGATCTTGAAATTCATCAAATGAACTGTCTAAATTCATTGTTAGAAGGGATTCATTTTGCAACAAAAAGCGGCGCTTTCATCTTTTCTCAAGATTTGGAATTTGGATGCACATCCGACGGCACAAGAGTGGAGTTCTATAAAATCCGTATGTGCAAGGATCTCAGGGGATCATTACTCATATTTTAATTATTATTTTAATTTATCTTATTAAAATACAATTAATCAATTAGATAGATACTAACTGAGAGAATATAAAGATTAACATATAACATTTTAATTAGTTGGAAATTAATGGAGAGAGAGACTACTACAAGAGATATGAGTGAAAGTGGATAGAGAGATGAGAAATGAGAGTAAATTTTGCGAGAGATATTTTGAAGAAAGAGAGAGGTAGATTAAAGGAGATAGGTTGGGATGTGGTGAATAGGAAAGCCAGTGAGAGATTAATAAATAATGATTACTGAAATAAACATTAATTAATGGGTGTGGTTTCTATAAGGTTTCAACTTTAAACAATCCAATTAAAGCGCACCTCCAAATTTTATCATAACATATTAGTGTAAAAATTTCTTAGAATTATATGAAAAATCTATTTTCATATCTAATTAAAAAAATTTAAACTCAAAAAATAGTTAAAAATCAAGTAGATATATAAACATATGAAAATCTTGAAATGGACAGTCGAGATAATATATTTCAAAATGACCTATTTTTGGGATTGAAAGTTATTTATTTATTTATATTCATACATCTTGATGTCGAGATTGTCAATACAACCTTTTTCGATCGATTTTTTAGGTGCATTTTTAATTCTACATTTTAAGGTTGCAACCTTAAATAAATTTTTTCCTTAATTAATAGAAAGATTTAAGGAAAATGCATGTTCCAAAATAAGATGAGAACAATAGGTCAAAATTAGTAGAAAGTAGAAATCAACAGCACATAATTAGAACTAAAAGGGATACTTATCGCGAAAATAAAAGTGGTAACCTTGTCACTTATTAATATACAATAGATAAACAATTACAATTGTATAATTAACATAACATAATGGTTACATTATTGTGATATTTATTATAGTGTTGATGTTTAGCAATGGCTACTCGCTTTCTTCACGTTTTTCTCATTCTATTTTAACAAAATTATATATTTTTATTAATTGTATTTGATAAATTAAATTTTATTATCATGTGTTTTGTTATATGAGATTTTTAAGATTCCGTTATAACGCACGGGCAATGTATTAAGATGGAAGTGGATCTTGTTTATTCTCGTGACACATGTCAAGTTTCCTTCCTCTCTTGTGATTTCATTTTTTAAGTAATTCTTACTTGTTAATGCATCTTCTTTTATTAAAGAAGTCACTCTTTCATATTTATTATGTATATTTGATATAATAATTATACATGTATGTTTTCATAATAAGTGACCCCTTATCCTTATTAATTTATCCATCTCTTTATTCTCAACAAAATTCTTACAGTAAATGATAAATTAATTTTCCCTCTCCTACTTATTAAAAATAATTACTACTTTCTTAATTATTAGATATACATACATGTTTTCATAAAAAATACCTATATCTCTTTCTCTTCTTGATTTAAATGTTAAACAACTCAAAATAATTTGTTCCATTATTTGATTTTTTTAAAAAGTAAAAATATAGATAATTTATTTTTATTTTTGAAAAAAAATATAATTGAAATTACAATATAGTCATAATAAATTATTCTTTAAAAATCATAATATGTCATCCAAAAAATATTCATGCGATATTTTTTTGTCAGTCATTGTCAAAGAATATAATTTAATTTATAATATATTTATCAATAGATTATTTTTTGCCAAAGCATATTTCTATATGAAAATACAAATACATACATTATATTATGCAAAAAATGATATAATATGGGCAATTTCTTATCTTTTTCTGTTTTTTTTTTGTTTTTCCTTTATTGCGTATTTCAAAATCCAATATTTTAATTACTTTGTTATTTCATTTTTTCTTGGTTACTTTTAGCAGCTTTCTTTTTAATTTCTAACATACCAATATAATTTATTTTTTTGGTTTTTAGCATTTCCAAAATAATGTATTATACTCTCTGATTTTATAGAAAATAGAAAATACAAATAGTTTATTTTTTGCAAAAAATATCATTAAAGTATAATATATTAATAAATATAATTTTTATTTTATGCAAAGTACAGTACATGTTCTATAAAATAACATTAATGAAAATAAATCATGTTTTGTTTTTTGTAAATTATATCATTTAAATTT